ATTTAAGAATAAAAATAAGAAAGAATTGTAATTCAACTTGTGTATATATGTGTATATAGAACTAGTTTCTTTAATGGAAGCTTTTGTGCTTATAAATCTACCCAGCTAAAATTTAAAAGCTTCTAATATCCTTAAAAATATTTCCATACATCCTTCCTATATAATTTTTATGCAGTTAGGTGACTTGAATATTATTAGTATAGAGGGAGATTCCAACATTTCCTTATTGTTACTTATCAAAAGTCAACCAGTACTTTAAAGCATTATTTTAACTGTAAACATACAATATAAGACCATAAAAAATAAATAATATATAATATACTTTGCACATATGAATATGTTTTCAATATTATATCCGCGAATGAATTGAAAATACATATTTTCATCTCTCTCTCTCTCTTATATATATATATATATTTACATATAGATAAAGTAAAAAAAAAAAGAAAAAAAATATGTATCTACATCACTAGAAAACACCATCTTGTTAGTAAAGCTTTAATAACATATATATTTTAAAGGTAAGTAGTAGGTGACCAATGGCGATTGTCAGATGCCAGTTTGTGATGTCGCGATCTTGTAGTTGGGCTTCTGTTTAAGAAGGTGTTGGCAATGCACAGCACATATATGATGTATTAGTCCCCTCCCCTGCGTAACATAATTTCAAATTCAAAGATTACGATAAACTGATTAACAAATTTTATTTGACAACAAGTATTACAGTAAAACTGTAACACTAATTAGGAATTTAATTCACTCCTTATTTGCATGTCGATTATTTATGCATGATCAACCAAAAAAGTTCTCTGACTGTTACCTGGAGATAATTAAAAATTAATACTTTTTGGAACAGAAACATATACAGCACAAAGTTTGAAATCCGGGCTCGTCGGGACTTCGGCGATTCCGGATTTGGGATTTTTCCAGATATCAGATCATCAGTTTAAATCTGGTAAAATGGCAGGTAGAAATTATAAAATTAAAAATATAACATCGTGATTTATGAAATAATGAAGTATTTATGATCTAAAGGGTATCAAAATTTACCAAAAAAAAAATGCTTAATATTTATTTGTTTACCTAATTAAACATTTCTTTCACTGTAAGCTGTTAAAGTTGCTTCGTTTTTTGTGCCAATACTTTCTTTTTAATTCTGTATACAGATATAATCTCTTGTTCAGTAACACTGCTGAAGTCCTGTAACTGCTGTTTCAAGAATTCCAACTACTCAATCGAAATTTTCTCATTTTCAGTAACTTCTCTGTCAATTTCTTCACTATTGGTAGCAGTATTTTCTGGATCTATATCCATACTACAGATTTCGCCATTCATTAATTGATTGATGATTGATAAGCATTGCCATCACAATGAAAAACTTTTATATCATCTTTATTTATTACCGCTTCTCCACATTTCTTTAAAAAATCCAGTAATTGAGAAATTTCACTTTTGTTTTGCGATATTCAAAAATCTTTAAAAAATTAGCGGCTATCATTATCAAATTTAGCTATCCTTCACTATACATATTTGACTATGCATCATGAGCTTGCCGACTAATGAAAAGTTGTTCTATTAAATTTAAATTTTATCTCGCTTCTATCGAGCACTGAGACAATTAAGCCTGAATTGTATTAATTATTTATTATACTTATGTCTATTTCTTGCACATTCTTGGCTTATCAAAGTTCTGAATAAATAAATTCCCACATACTTAAGCCTTATTGAGAGCCAGCGCTAGATATCTTACCACCAGATGCAGTCTCTGCGGGTCCTAAATGTTACGACCTGGTGCCATTCTTTGCCGGTGTGGCCATACGAGCCCTGGAGCTAGTTCTGGGTTTATGTGAATAAATAAATCAATTATTCTTAACTCAAATACCCCTAAATGTAATCTTTGGGTCTATGAGTATCATCAACAAAATCTATGTTTAGCATATGGAAAGAAATGTTTGGTAAATTTTTCCTCGTCAACATTTTTTAGTGCATTTAACTTAAATCTGTAATCATCGCCAAGCGTAATGTCAACATAAAAGGTTACCATACTCCTTTATTATTCAATTACTAACATAAAAAAAAGTTTTTTTTGGGCATCGCTACATTCAAGTTGTCATGTTTTGATAAACATGCTGTGATGAAAGGAAAGTATAATAAATAATGATTCGCCAGGTTGGCGTCAAATCAATGATGCAGCTATGTGGAATGTTTGGGTTTGAGATGAATGCCAAGCAGATACGCAGCAACAGAGTCAAATTACTGATCGTACAAATTTATGCTAAAATAATTGTTTCTTCAATAACAAGGTATTTTATGTAGGGTCGAAGTGAAATTAAGAATCGAGACTCTCCAGATGTTTTATTATGTAAGGAAGGGATAATCAAATGCGCATGCATAAAGCCTACGGGAAAACGTTGCTGGTGGTTTGAGGTCCGGATTTTAGATCATTCTGGATAATGGACATCTGGATTTCAGACTTTGTACTGTAGTATTTGACAAAGCGGTGCTACAGTGAAATCTACTAATGCCTAGAATGACGTTCAAATTTTAATGGTATAGAATTATAAAAACCATATAAACAGTATAGAATTATAAAAACCACATAAACAGTATTAAATATTTTAAATAAATACTTAATGTTCTATCTGATGGCCTCTTCTCTAGACCAATAATGGCTAACATGTTGATCATGATTTACATGAGAGAGAAAAAAAATTATTGGTCAATCACAGCTAATAAGAGAAATCAAATTAGTCATGACATAGAAACAAACAGCTGTGGTCCTTTACTATCATTCTTAAGACTGACTATTGGCTTTTTACACATGTTGTTGACAGGATAACAGAATGGTAGCTTATGTCTCTTGTCATACACTTGCTGGCGAGCATGCCATTTAGCAGGTTCCTCAGTGTGTACTCTTTTAATCCCCGGTGTAACAGTAAATAAGTCAGTATTCCTGCATTATTTGTACAGCATACTCATCACAACAGTAAAAATATATTAGCATGTCTAGGAAAAGTCCCAAATTTTCTTAGGCTTGGTTTATTTAAGATACAGCACACTAGGGCTATCTGTATAAGGGAAGGGATGCCTACATGGAGGTCTTTCTAAGGGAAACTGGTTTGTTTCCACATTATACATGGGAAAAATCATGAAGACAAATGCAGCTAGCTCGTTTGCCTGGAATCAAATCCAGGTTGAGCTACCAGTGTTCAGCGATTTTACCACTCGACAACTACTGGCGGGCACCCAAATTTTCTGTTATGCATAAATGTAAGTACCTTTTTTCTGTGTTTTATATTAAAATGCATTTTTCCCTCTCCATTTTAGCACCCATTTAAATGAGGAATAAAACAAAAAAGTAAAAAATTTATCATATTCATGAAGAATGAGAACCAGATTACTTGTCTACAATGATGAATTTTAAATATTGCTACTTAATAAGCAACACCTTGATAAACATTACTAAAATGGGTAACATAGAGAGTAATTTTTAAACTTTACAAATATCAAACATATTATCTACAAAAAAAATGGCATGAGAAAAAATAAAATTAGAGATCTTGAAGATTAACTAAGAGCTGAACAATTAAAAAAAAAAACTGATGTTAAAACCATGTGAAATGATTATTATACCATTTAAAGTAATCCCATGAGTTAGTTAAAAGTCTAAACTACTTACTGGCATGAAATTTATATAAGAAACTTTCTTGCAAATGCCAGATTCAGTTTTAAATGATTATAAGAACAAGACAAATTATTGTTGAAATTAAAGATCTACAATTGTCTTGATATATTATTATGTGGTGAATTGAGAAAATGAGAGAGTAGAGTTTGTTCTTGACTTCAGTTGATGAATCAATAGCTATATGTGGCACAGCAAAAATTCCTTATTTTTATTTATTTGGTTTCTAAAGATTATTCATTTAAAGAAGAAGTTTTAGGTATATCTTTGAAAGAAAGAACTAGATGTGTAGACATAGTTAATTCTTTTAAAAATGTCTTTACTAATTTGAAGCTAGCCCTTTTTAAATTAGTGTCAATAACAACAGAGAGCAGGAGCAATGATAAGCAACATAAATGCATGTATAACTCTGTGCCAAAATGATGATGAATTCCCAAGTTTTTTGAATTACTACAACATAATATACCACAAGCATTAGCCAGTAAAGTATTAAGTACAGAATTTTATGTATAGATGGTGCTATGCAATGTTAAATGTGATTTAAGATGTAAAATACATAGATGTAACACCCACTTTTATTGTTATACATTCAAGAAATTTAGCTGCAGAGTTAAATGACAATTGACAGTTTTAAATGATGGATTTGTAATCTTTGGTAGCTCAGCAGTTAAAGAACTAAATTTCTTCATTAAATATAGATGTTAAAATACTATTACTGCTAATTTTAATATCTCCTTAATCTTTATTCATCATTCATTTTCATTCCAAGATAAAACTAAAAACATCTAGCTTTGACCAGACTTAACTTTGGATTCTTGAAATCTAATTTTTAAGCCCCCCCCCTTAAAAAAAAAAAAAAAAAAAAAAAAAAAAAAAAAAAAAAACTCTTGATAAGTAAGTTGATTTTCTTATCATTTGTCAGTAATTTAGATTAATTCATGTTTCATGAAAAATCAGAATATATTTTCATTTGCCTCCTTGAGTAGCCAGTTTCTTTGAAAGAAGGTAAGGTACTATGGCTATCAGCATAAAACAGGTTAAAAGTATGCACATTCTTCAGATTAAAGATGGTAGTTTAACTTCATAATTTATGAGGTACTTGAAAATAATTCTTTTGGAACATACCAAATCCTTCAAATTAGAATTACAGGTCCGCCACCCCCAATCTCAACATTAAGATCAATTTCCATTTCATAAATTATTAAATTCAGATGCTGTTACAAAAAAGGAAATTATTTTATTCTTCTATGTTCAGAAATATATGCAGCATATATCATGAAAATTAAATGCAAAAAATAAATATTTTGTATAAAATCCTTACTTTTGCCTCTCTGATTTGTAAGATGCTGTGAGCTCGTCAAATAACTTGGAGTTCATCTCCATAAAGGTTTTAAGGACATTATAAACCAAAGCAACTATAGTTTGGTTCCAGTGTTCTTTAGATATACGATATAGGGCAGGGAACATTATAGGCATAATGACTTGATTATTTTCTTCTATCAGGCTCAGAATATATTCATTGTTCCAAAAATATAGAGCTCTTTCAGCAACCTACATATTAAAAATTTGTGAATTAGTTAAAGTCAATTAAAATTATTAAACAAATACATACATACGTAAGAGATAAAAATATGAAGAAAAATGTATTAACAAATTAAAACTAACTGACAACAGACCTTTAAGTTACTAATTTTCAATTAAAGAATGGTCCCTTCAAGGCAGATAAAACTTCCCTGCAGCATTCACATTGCATATATTATTTCAATTATATTATATTACTAAACTATTTAAAGCTAATCTTTAGATATTCTTCAACTCAGTGAAAAAGAAGTTAATTTGATATATTCAATCTTTGATTGGCAATGATTTTACAGAAATGTCTACAAAACCAATACCAATCCAAGGCTGAATTTTGAATAAACATTGTATTCATTCACGTTCTTCTGTCCTTGGCACGAGGGCATTTATCACATCTTTCATACTTAGTTTCGAATTTCATGTATTGGTTTTAATACTTCATCGAAACTTCTGCTTTTGTTTTGCATGCAGTACGGCAGTTTCTTGGTAAAGTATTAATTTCTGATCTTTGTTCAATACGTTTTTAATTAATTGCAATGCTAAGTCCTTCAAAAACAGACTTCTGTTTTTGGTTGGTGGATTAGCAGTTGAATGCAATATAATTCAAGCATTTATTACAGCAAAATTCAGTGCAGGAAAGAAAATTACCATTGGCCACCTCCTTGTTATTCTGGCAATTGAATAATAAGCAGACATTTCATCCCCCATATCCACTGCTCTTTTAGTCATATTATAAAAACATACAATTCCTGACGTTTAATTTTCTCCAATAGTATCATCTATAGTATGATCGTTATATAATGTAAAAAGCATAAGAACAGTTTTTCCTTTTTTAGGAACAACAGGAATTAATTCCCAATTTCATCTTCAGTTTCTGAAATGCAATCTTCATCGCTTTCAAATATTTCCAATAAATCTCACAGGCGTTGCATTTCCAATTCATAGGGAGTCATTCTTTTTACCTTAATGCAGTTAGAAATTTTTTAAATTTAATGTCAAGTACTTTAAAATCACTTGCGAGTAGAAATATTTACTGCTACACTCTAGGAATAAATTTCTGAATTAAATATTCAGTCAGAAAAACACTTAAGCGGACAGGCACGTGGGAGTGTCATACCCCAGTTCCAACAAAATACTGATAAATCTTTTTCTGAAACACACAGGCAAAGAAAAAGCAGGTCTAAAAGTTAACCACAATTAGAAACTCAGCTACTGAAAGCAGCACAGAATTTCAGTTTCACAAGTTAGGAATATTCCACTTTTATGTAGGGTTGGGGTATGATACACCCCACGCGTTTTCCCGCGGGTTAAAGAACATCCGAAAAGTATGGCTGCACTTTCAAAAATGAATTAAAAATAAACAAATATTTTCACTTATTTTTTTTTTTTATATTCTTTAAGGAAAAGATAAAAGATTTTTTTTTAATGAAATGTAAACTATATGGCACTACGTCCCCATTTTGCAACATTCTCATTTCAAAATGCCTTCAACGCAAGAACAATCACATGTTGTAGCATGGTTTATTGAATTTAAATCTGATACACGGTACAGCGTAAATTCCGTACTTCACACAATCGAATTCAATCTTCAAGATCCACAACTTATAAGTGGCATGAAAGTTTTGACAACAGATAGTGTATTGTCAAAACCAAAATCTGGCTGCCCTAGCAGAAGTTGTGATGATGTTACACAAATTAAAGAATGCTTTCGTTGTACTCCTAGGAAATCGATTTGTGAAACTGGCCAGCAATTACAAATACCGAAATCAACTGCATACAATGTAGTGCATAAGGCTATAACATATAAATGTATGAACTTTCAATTGTTTGCATGAGTTAAAGACTGATGATGAGCCTCAACATCAAGAATTTGAAGATGAAATGTTACAAAAAATGGAGGATGATGGAACTTTACAACATGTAATGTTTTTAGATAAGTCAATATTTCATGAAACGAGTATTGTTAACTGACGAAATACTCAAATATGAGGATTAGAAAATCCTCATGTTGTAATGGAGGAAGCAGCAGACAGCCTTAAAGTGAATTTGCGGTGTGGTTTACTGCACGATCGAATTATATGACCCTTTTTCTTTTCCGCAAAGCTGTGCTTTGACAATTACCTTGATATACCTGAAATTTTTGCATTTCCTCAAGAAAAGGACTTGGAAGCCAATATCATTTTCTAGCAGGTTGGGGCACTACCACACTGGAGTTTGGAAGTGCAAAAAGTTTTAGATGAAAAGTTCTAAGGGCAATGGATGGGAAGAAGAGGCTCAATACTGTGGCCACCTAGATCTCCAGACATAACACCTCTGGACTTTTTCTTATGGGGATACATGAAAAACACTGTTTACAAACACTGTTACTAATTTCCAATTCGTGACACTGATGAAATGAAAAGTCAAATTACAGCAGTGTTGATCTTCCAATGTTTCATAGAACCTGGTTAGAAATCTCATATAGACTTGATGTGTAGGGTGCGACTAATTGTGGAACATTGGAAAAAAATTATATTTTCTTTATGGAACATATAAACATTAAGTGAAAATATTTGTTTGCTTATCTGTAATTAACATTAGAAAGCATAGTCATATTTTTCAGACAACCTTTGTAATGAATACTTAATAAGCAAAACATTGTTGCTCTGCTGGGCATTACATCATTAAAGGGACAACCTATGAAACAGATAACATCATATCACTAAAATTTTGAGCAACACAACACCTGTATAGTTCTTTTAAATGATTTTAGATTTAAGAAATAGACTTGATGTGACTAGAAATTGCCTCAATGAGATACCCTTCCTTAATATGGTAATAAACATTTCAACAATACTGCAATTGCCCGGGATTTGTCCAAGAACATTTTAACTAGGGTGACCAAAAACCCAGCAGTAACTTCCGGACATTTTTTTTCTTTAAAATGTTCCTAGACCGTAAGAACAACGCCATTATATATAGTTGAAGTTCTGGATGGGGTCCTAGAAGAGTCCTTTATACTGTAAAAATAATTTATTAACAGATTTAAGTTACACATGGACATTACATTTAACTTTACAAAAATTACAGAGCAAGAGTCTGATACAACCTATAAGGTTCATTGCTTGGCTTTCGCTGAAGTATTTCTCTGGCTACTCACCAGAGAGCACCCTCATTGCTACAGTTAGTCCAACAGTTTATATTATAGGACTGGTTACATAAGTGAATTAAAAAAACTGATATATCCAGCTTTCTAAATGCACATACATCATAAAAATTATTTAAAAAAGAATCAAGTTAACTGTTAGTTTTTTGAAAATGGTATTCTCCAGTGGATATCAAACTACTGAGGAATTTTTGAAAATAAAGCTCATGCTAAATCAGAATTATTACTACACCAAACAAGTCCTCCTCTTCCTATGTGAAATTGTACCATTTTGAAAAAAATATTGATGACTTTGTTTCATTAAAAATAAATAAATAAAAGAAGGAGAGGAAAGAAAAGGAAAAGAATGAAAATTAAATTATAAGTGCTTGAAAATTAATATAAACTTTTTAAAAAATAATTATATTACTATTTATACTGCTTCAATATAATTTGTTATTTATCAAGAAGGAAATGTTTAATGTTTTTAATTTCAAAACCACAAATCATTAAATGTGCCAATTTTCTAAATACATAAATTTACAGTATTATGATTCAGACAGTTACCTTTCATAAATTACAAGTATAATTAAATTGAACTTGTTCATAGGGGTGTTTATTTACTTTCCTCTTATGAAAAAATATGTAGTCAATACTATGGATGCAGCAATTATCACTTAGTCGAAAATTTATGTAAGTACACTCTGTATATAAACGCAGCACACACTTGTTTATTTTCTACGATTACTCTATCATTACAGTATGTGTTTACAATGAATAAGTTTCTTTTATCACAAAAAAGAGCCAAGGTGTTCAGTCAAATTTTACGTGTGGTCTTCCTGACTGGAAAAGGATGTTTTGAAAGGGAGTTCAGATATCATCTCCTAGCTGCTGTTGTTCATTTTCTTGTTAATACATTTGTTGCCAAAGCTCAGTAAGTGCATTCACTCACACTGCCAAAATCCTACCTGCACTTTTATGCTTTTAATTTTTATTTCATCATTTAAATACAGATATACCAGATTACTTTCAGTATGGAATAAACTCACATGACTATATTCATAGTTGTCATTTGAAATAATATTTTTGCTCCTTGTGGCAACTAAAATATAACTTGAAACCTGATAAATCATACTCGCCCTTTTTGTGCATTCATGCAAAACTCCTCAAGTATGATACATTATTTTCCATTAGTCTTACACAAAACACCAAACAAGAATTTAAACAGTTCGTTTATAACATTTCTTAAGTGAATAGACTGAAACAAAAGATTTTGTGTTCTTAACATTTAGTTATAATTTAGAGAAATACATGATCTTATAACTAACTACGTTATAAATAATCCATTTCAATATGCCAAGTGTATAATTTAGACTCCTCCTGTGCGCCAAACAACAATGTATACATTTACTATGGCAATAACTCTACTTGGTCATTTAGGTAAGGTAATCAATAATCTGTAATCATGTAACTAGCAAGTAAACCTAGTTTGCCAAATAGCACTCTTACAGTTGCCAGTGAATGGATTTAAGAGCAGCAAAGAATGATTTAAAACTTGGTAGTATCCACATGTTCTATATCTGCAGAGATTACTTCTATTTGTAAAAACTGTTATTTCCCAAGATGTGTAATATCTCCTCCTACTGTTACGTTTAATTAACAAACACAAAAAGACACACATGTGTTTATTTCATCCCATAGCTTTAAATTCCATCAGATCGTTATCAAAGCTTTCCTTAGCAATAGGAACTCAACTTCCTTAGCAATAGCAATTTCCTTAGTGATACCAGTGTTAAAAATATTTTTAATGCTGCTTCTATAGTCAGACACAAGTGAACTAAATTATATCTGTGAATTATCTTTAATAGATCTATCTAAGTTTGTCAGCATTTTAATGTTTGCAATTTAAAAAAAAAATGAAATGAAATAGCTTGGATTTAAAAACTAGGCATTCTCTAATTTTTCTGCAGCATTTATTTCATAAAAATATTTAAGTGTTAAATCATAAGCCTAATCCAACAACTTCACTCATTCTGTATAAATTCAAATTACTACGGCACCTCCATTATCAGAATATCACTACCAGGAAATAAAAGTGGAATGTCTTAGAAGAGCATAGGACTGAGGATCCCTCTTGATTAGCTTGAAAGGGTTGTTGCAAAATGCTTTCAATTACTGACGAGCCATGATTATCTTTAGTAACATTTAGGATAAGGATCGATTGTCAACTTCTGCTAAATGACTTGGTGCCTTCACTTTGCGTGTATACGAGCCAGTTTCCCTTAGAAAGTCCTCCACGAAAGGCATCCCTCCCCTTAGGCAGATAGCCCTAGTGTGCTTTGCCATAATTAAATACACCACACCACCCTTCACTTTGCAAGAGTGACATCAGGACTACAGAACATTTTATTAAGAGTTCTGAATTAAAAGTTATTGATTGACATTAGCTACATTTCTCCCAGCAGTATATTTTAAATGTTTTGGATGAAAAGATAGTGCAAAGACAAAAAGTCTTAAACAGACATGGATTTATGGATTAAAAAAAATTCAATAATTATTTTAAATTAAATATGCAGAAGCTACATGCATGTTTGAAAATTTATGGCACTTTTTATGATTAATTTTAAGACCACAAAATATGCTTAAAAAATTACATAAAAAGTTGAAATATCCAAAGAAGTGAACCTTTTACCTGAAAATGCGGACTGGAAACACAACGAGATATCTGTTTAAATAAAGGTTCTTGAATCTTTACAAACTGAGAAAGTTCTATCACATCTAATATTTCTTCAATTTCTCCCAAAAACATTACCTGTAAGAAACACATAAAATTAAATTTCTAGCTTAAAAACACTACCATCAACCTGGCAATTAACAAGATTTATTACATACAATTGGTAATGCAAAATAAATTAAAATGTCTTATTTTTAAAATGGAATTTGAAACTTTGGTCATGATGCATTATTATCGCATTAATTTACTTTCTATCTTTTCACTGACATATGTCTTTTAGTACATTTACATAGGTCTTCATTATGGAAAAGTGTTGAATGATAATTTATATTTTTCACTGCCTTCATGCATCATAAAGAGGCTGGATTATTCCAACAAGTGTGACTCCAAGGCAGTCACACCACCATGTAAAATCTGTTTCAAACTAAAGATAATTGTTAACATAACTTATACACCAAAACTAGGTGACTGTTTCTAATTATGCACAGATAAAACAGCCTGCAGTAATAGTTTTAATACCAGACTGCCAAACAAATTCATATAAATTGTTATAGGATTTTCTCTAACAAGAACAGTCCTGATTTATTAACTTATATAAGTTGTTAAATAAGTACTTCTAAATAAATTCTGATTTGAAACCAATAATAGTTACAGTTAGACTTTGACAAGTAATAAGGACACGAATTCCATTAAAATTCAACCCATTCATTTTGTTAAACATTTACAAGCAACAAGGTGATTACTGGATCTTTCCTACCATATAGAAGTAATTTAATCAAAACTAACCAAGTTCATTTTAAGATATCATATATATGTTTGTTTCAATAAATTGAATTCAGTGCCTTGATTCTAATTCATTCTTCTTCGCTTTTTAATACTGAAAAGTACAAGCAATTTCTGGCATAACAAAAATAATGGAGAAAGTTGTTAAAATACTAACAAGGAAACAGGAAATTGCTTCTTAACATTATGCAAAACTAATATAAACTTCTAAAAAATTTCATTAATGAAATATTTGGTTTTAAGCCTTTAATTACCAAAATTACCACCAAAATTTACATATCATATTTATCAGTATACACTGAATTCCTGGAATCCTTATACAGTACAAAATCTTTAATCCAAACTCGTCGGGACTTTGTTGATTCCAGATTAGGGTTTTTTCTGGATTATAGATCATCAATTAAAATCTGGTAAAACGGCATGCAGAAATTTTAAAATTAAAAATATGAAACCGTAATTTCTGAAATAAAGAGCAATTATGATCGAAAGGGTATCAAAATTTACAAAAAAAAAAAAAAAAAAAAAAAAAAAAAAAGAGAGAGAGAGAGAGAGAGCTTAATATTTATTTTACTTTATTAAACATTTCTTTCAATGTAAGTTGCTTCGTTTTATGTGCTAATACTTTCTCTTTAATTCTATAAACAGACATAATTTCTTGTTCAGTTATAAAGTTCCGCTGTTCAAGTCCTGTAATTGCTGTGCCGAGAACACCGTCTAACTTTTCAATCGAAATTTTTTCGTTTTCACTAACCTCTCTGTCACTTTCTTCATGCCTTTATCCATTTTTTGCAGCAATTCCACTTTTTGTTTGATAATTTTAGCCTAGCTTATACCGTCCATTATACATTAAACGTGCATGCATAAATGTATTACGCGCATTTGTAAAAGCTATGCACGCACAGAATGTTTGTAGCTTTGTGGTCCGGATTATGGACGTTCGGATTAAAGACTTTGTACTGTATTTGATTATTACTAGCCTCAATTCATCCTATGATCTTACTGTGCATAATGACATTTTGTGTCACATTTGTACAGTACTAACTATCTTTTGAGATGAAATAGAAATAATGATACTTCCAGCAACCAGGGTTTAATTTCTAAAATAGGAAGTGCCGGAGCCCTATGGAAGGACATCAAAGAGAAGGGAAAAAAATAAAAAAATAAAATAATAAAACAACTAATGAATAAAATTAAATTCAATTAAGTATAAAGATATAAATAAAAATTTAATAAATTATTAATATCATGATACAAAGGAAAATAAAAGCAATAAAATATTGCACCTCGTCTTGTTTGGGCCCCCAGCTGAAATTACAATTTCATTCAAACACTAGAAAATAACTCAGACAGTCTCCTGCTGAATTAAAGCCCTGAATATACTGTATAACATACTTTTCATGAGATGAATGAAACAAACCATTCTTTTTCCAGCATACCAATGGGAAAAAAGTAAAATGAGTTAAGCATCACTAATGAAATTAGAGAGAATGCTAGAAACAATATGAGAATAATGGAAAGAAATTTAATGCAGAAGAACAGCTCCAAAAACAAAGAGATGAGTCCACCATTTTCCGACTGCGATGCCCTGTCGACACAATTCCAGCTGTTAAGCAAAATGTGAATGGGTAAAAAATCCCCCTTAATCTGATCCAATAACAACATGAGAACAAATGTAAGGTCTGCACTAGTGACACTTTTTGTTCCCAGTACAGTCAAAAGTCGTTAATCCGGACTCGTCGGGACTTCGGCGATTCCGGATTATCGATTTTTCCGGATTATAGATCATCAGTTTAAATCTCGTAAGATGGCATGCAGAAATTCTAAAATTAAAAGTATGAAACCGTAAATGACGAGGAACTTGTTTTAAATTATATCAAAGACGGAGCACATCGAGATGAAATACTAATTTGGTAAGGAATTATAAGCCAAATAAAATAAAAACATCTGCCCTGAAGATAAGGATTGTGCTGACAGATCAACTTCCAATTCATTACGCACACGCGGCGGCTTTCCCCCCCGCCGAGCAGCGTGAAATTGATAAACAGATTTCGAATTTCAAAACATACTTTCGCTTTAGATCCTTTACATATTAACAAATATATATCGGAAATTCTATTTGATATAATCGAAAGTTTAAACTTACTTTTATAAAATTGCTCTTACAGTCTGCAAAAAATAATAAGCCGGATCCAATTCGAAAATTAAGGAACAACGCAATCATCAACATTAACTGAAATAGATAATTATTTAGCTTATACGTCCATTATACATAAAACGCGCAAGCAAAAGAGTATTCTGCACTTGCGCACACTCATATGCGCAGTCGTAAAAGGTCTTACGCGCACGCGTAAACGCCTATGCGCATGTGTCAACGCGGCGCATGCGCAGAAAGTTTTTAGTTTTGAGGTCCGGATTATAGATCATTCTGAATTATGGGTGTCCGAATTAACGACTTTTGACTGTATTTCATTACATAGTTCAATTCTGAAGGGAAAGGGCACTAGTGCTGGATGTGCACGATTCAGGTAATCCCTTCTATTACTTTGGAGAACAATACATTTTATCCATGCTCATAAATGCATTGCACTACCTGGAGAATAAGCCTTTACCATGTGAATGATGACTTTTGTTTCCTGAAAAGTCTTAAACTCCATCAAAATGTTTGTTAAAATTTGTCCACTTAAACTGCATTTCACTTGCATAAATGAAGTGCTGGAGCCCCTTTATTTAGGACTCCAGTGTTCTTTGACCAGAATTAAAATTTACCCAAGAAACTGAGAAGTAATCAGAGCTGGGCTCTGGCACAATTTAAGCTCTACCAGTAATAAAATGCTAACAGAGTTCTTCAAAATTCAAATACCCAAAAACTTTAATTAACAGTAAAAATGTTTCCTCCTATGTAGTTTTGAATAAACTTTTTACCAGAGATGACAGACAGAATTATTACATATTTTCCAGTTCAATACTAGAGTTGCACACAGATGCACTGGCAAAATCTTTAAATTATAGACTGAATATACATATGTACATAGTTACCATGTATTTTAAATAGACAATGAAACATTTTAAACTTTTATAAAATAAAACCTTACTTCTTTCTGACTACAGGTTTTGGGCCAAATCTTCAGTAAACCTCGTATAACCTGAAATTTAAGGACATATTTAAAATGCACTTTTACCCCACATAACACACACAAAAATATTAAACTCAGACAAACAGAAATGACAAGTAAAAAGGAAAGCTGAGCTTTTCCTTTTCTACACCTACTATGTTACTATAGACAGGGGCGTAGCTAGAGGGGGGCATCTGTCCCCGATCGCAGAATCCAAGGGGCGCCAAACTGATGTTACGACATTGTAGAGTTAAATGTTTTCCATCCTTGGCAAGCAGTAGGGGGCGCGAAATCTTCAGTTGTCCCTGGGCGCTGAAAACCCTAGCTACGACTCTGACTATAGATAGATACATCTTTTGTCAGACTGCTTACCTACAAGTTCTTTGGCGTTCTTTACTTTCAGGCTTTTTTAAAGTTTTTTCTAGGGATGAAACATTTGAATCTTCAAATCCCACAGGTGTTGGAAAAAATTCAAAATTCAAAAACATGAATCTTTAAGAATTTTTCAGCATTCGAATATTTTAAATCTTAACTTGAAAAACTGATAATGTTTTATCTTGAAACTTTGGAAAGATTAGTTTCATTGATAAATTTAACTGTTGCAATTTCAGTGCAGTTGGATTACCAGTATAATCTTGCAGTGACCTAAATGCAACATTCCTAATTTTCTGAAAAAATTTAGTATTTCATATACAACACTTATTTGTGTTAATTTCTGAAATAATCCTGCTTCCTCTCTACCTTTATTCTGATTAAGAGAGATAAAATTTTTTTTGAACTATCACTCTTTTCTCTTTTGTTAAATTTTTATTGAGAAAATGATCCTTAAGATAAAAGATTTTTAACTACATACTTCAGTTCCTAAATTTCATTTGCATCTTCTTAACAAATGTAGTTGTATTTTTTAAAATAGTTCTTAAATTTGCTTTTTAACTAAACAGATATTTCAAATTTTGCTTTAATAAAGACATTTAAGTTTTTTCTCTCTTTATTCTTCTTTCGTTGTTCTTACATGAAGCAGTGCTCCGCAACCTTTTCTCACCTGCGACGCACAAAAAATCTTTCTGGAATTTTGTGGCACACCAAAAGCTAATGTATTGATTTATACACAAAATTTACAATAAATTTTTGTTTTTAATTTGAAAAATATACAATTATAAAACCATAACATATTTATTTATATGCAATCACAATAATTATCAATGTGATACCTGAGCTTAAAAAAAGTTATATATTTTTGAGTTCCGAGTTATCAAGGAAATGCCGAAAAAATTCATATGCTGACACACTTACAATCACACACACAACCACACAACAGTGAAATATATAAAAACATTTAAAATATACATTATTAAGGGAAAAAAAGTTTCATTGTGTATTAAATGCATGATAAAAAACTGCAAAATGTCAAATACATGTATTTGATTGCGGCACACTTATATCCTACTCATGGCACACCAGTGTGCCGCGGCACACTAGTTGCGGAGCATTGACATGAAGGAACTGAGGGATCTGAAAATCTTCTAAGATTTTCATGCAAGAAATTTTAAGATTCTTGTCACCTCTAGTTTTATCTTACTGAACCATAATAACTTATAATCACAAGCATTTTATAAACTAATTCTCATGAAATTATAAAAAAATGAATGTGTAAATGCCAAAACATCAGTTTAGTTCACAGAAAATGACTATTCACCTACAGTGTAATTTATTTTGAGGCTAGAATAGTATATTTAATGGAACTAAATTTTAGTACATAATTTTAATCAAAAGAGAATGCTAATCATTACAGTACTGAATAACACATTCATGATAATTACGTGGGAAAAAAGTATTATTACCTGCTCAGTTAATGTGGCATCTTTTTCGAGGAACTGGACCACGCAGTAGGCCAGCTATAGTTAGAATGAGAAAAAGGTTAAGACTCATGCTCATGTTATAATGAATAATATGTTATTAGAGTTCCGGAAATTAAACAAAACATGCTTGAAAAACTATCATATCATAAGATATAATGCATCAGGTTTTAAACATAATAGATTTAAATAAATAAAACCTAATCATCAGCATTGATGTTACTAATATAATTCTGGAATAGATTCCATTTCAAAGCATTAGAAGGAACTACCTGTTCGCACTAATACAAACTAATGATCTCCAAGAAGATTTTAAGTGTGGGACATTAGGCATTAAATCTTGAAACTATGGCTGATACTTTCAATTATCTGTTTAAAGCTCTTTGAGACAGATATGAAAATTAAAGAATCCTGATTGAGACATATACAAATTCAATAATTGATTTTAGTAATTTAACTTTTGAATCATCAAAGGAGATAAAAATGTAATAAATATTATTAAAAACTTAAGACCTTTACTTCAAAAGTTAGATTCTGAAATGTATAAACAATCTGAACTAAGAATGTTAATGAATTAATTGTATATTTGGAGAAAAGATGTCAGTTATCAAATAACTTTAACAGTTTTTAGTCCAAAGGGGATTTGTCCCTGAAGGACTATTCTTTTTGTTTTGGCATTTTGGGTCAAATCACTATAAACGACGTATCACTTTTCAAATTGTTGCCATCAAATATTAGAGCCCTGTATCATATTTAACCGGGTGGAAGTCGCACCAAGAAAAGTTACTAGAGTGGTCGCGTGGGGTATCACATACCCCAATATTTAAAATATGATAAAAATAGTTTTATTTAGTTTTAAAGCTGTTTTTCTTGTTCTCGTGTATTATAAATACATGAATAATAATTGGGTTTCAAAAAATTAATTTCCAAAATAATCTTAAAGAGTTAAAATTAAGATAAATGAAAATAATAAAAAAAATAAACATCATGCCTCTAAGTTTCATTGCATCTCTAATACAGAATGCTTATTTTATTTCTTTACACTTTAAACAAAATACATTCATGTGTTCTTGGCACAGAATGTTCTCACATTTTAAACATTGTATTCATTCACGTTCTTCTGTCCTTGGCACGAGGGCATTTATCACATCTTTCATACTTAGTTTCGAATTTCATGTATTCATTTTAATTCTTCGTCGAAACTTCTGCATTTATTTTGCATGCAGTACATCAATTTCTTGGTAAAGTATTAATCTCTGATCTTTGTTCAATACTTTTTTTCATTAATTGTAACACTAAGTCCTTCAAAAACAGACTTCTGTTTCTGGTTGGTGGATTAGCAGTTGAATGTAATATAATTCAAGCATTTATTACAGCAACATTCAGTGCAGAAAAGAAAATTACCATTGGCCAGCTCTTTGTTATTCTGGCAATTGAATAATTGGCTGACATTTCATCCCCCATATCCACTGCTCCTTTAGTCATATTATAAAAACATATAATTCCTGACATTTTATTTTCTCCAATAGTATCATCTATAGTATGATCGTTATATAATGTTAAAAGCATAAGAACAGTTTTTCCTTTTTTAAGAACATCAGGAATTAGTGTTTCATCTTTTTCGAAACCAAAACAGTGTAGAAAATATTCCTAGTTTCATCTCCAGTTTGCAAAATGCAATCTTCATGGCCTTCAAATATTTCTGATGAATCTCACAGGTGTTGCATCTCTAACTCATAGGGAGTCATTCTTTTTACCATAATGCGGTTAGAAAATTTTAAGAATTTAATGTCAAGTACTTTTCAAATCACTAGTGAGTAGAAATATTTACTGTTACACTTTAGAAATAAATTTCTGAACTAAATATTCAGTCAGAAAAACACACAACAGGCACATGTTGTGTGTCATAGCCCAGTTCCAGTAAAATACCAATAAATCTTTTTCTGAAACACAAAGGTGAAAGTCAACCACAACTAGTAACTGAGCTACTGAATGCAGCACAGAATTTCAGTTTCATAAGTTAGGAATATTCCACTTTTATGTAGGGGTGGAGTATCATACACCCCATGTGCTTTCCTGCAGGTTAAAGAAATTAAATAATGAAGAATCTGCATAAAGGTATGCATGTTTCTCATGTTGTGATAAAACAATGGTACCTAGAGCCATCCAATTTTGAATGATGTAATCCAACTGCAAATATGAGCATCTGAAAGCCCAAATTTGAAATTTGGAATTTGTTCTATTATTAATTTCATATTTTGCATAAAACTTTAATGAATTTTTGGTTAACAAACTCAACGATTTAAAAGAGAGCAGTGGCAACACTCTTGGGGAGGACCTTTTTATCTCGAGCATGCGGAACTGTGTATCAGAAATTCTAAAGATATGCTCAAAATTACTTTGCAAAATTGCTGTTGAACTGAATTTTATGGTTTAAGTGCAAAGAACATGACATTTAATAAATGAAGGCAACACACAAAACATAAAAAAAAAGCCCCTTTGGACGTAATTTAAAATAAAGTTGAAATATACATTAAAAAAATTTTCTAATTTGAAATCTTTGATGGTTTAAACTGACAGTGTTCGAAACCATGTTCTATGTAAAAGTACTAAGCATTCACTGCATACATACGATTCTTTCATGAAATTAAATCCTGATCAGAGATATGAAATAGTTAAACAACATAAGTTATATTTAAATTGTCTCAGTAAAAAACATCTGATTACAAAATATAATTCCAAATGTGAGAAATGTGTGGAAAATATCATTCATTAATCCCTCCTGACATAAATCCTCAATAATTAAGACTTGTCCCCCCCAGAAAAAAAATGGAACATCCAGTAAAGAAATTATAAACATGAATGCAGAAGATACTAAAAATCAATCAAGTTGCTTTCTGACAAAGATAAAAAATATTTTATTAGCCATTGCAATAGCACATACTTGTAATTCTGAAGGAAATGGAAGCATGACATGTTTTATTACTGAAAACGCTATTAATTTGTTAAACCTGAAGAAAGAAATAATTTATGCCTCAGTAATTGGAATAAATGAGAAGATTATAAATATTAATTACTAATTAGAAATACATATTTCAAATAAATATTTAACATATGTAAGACCAAATAATTACTTGGTTATTTTTAAAATTACCAATGTTACCCTTTCAAGAAGTTAGACATCCATTAAATATTAATACTGAAATTCAATTAGCCTAACCGCAACTAAAGATTCCTAATAAAACAGACAAATTACTAGACGGCAAACACTCAAAGAGATTTTAAAAATAAGAAAATTACAGTTAGAAAATCATAATTAATATTCCCAAAATATACACTGTCAAAACATTTGGATACACTGTCAGGTTCATGCAAGAGTAATCCAGAAATAAATAGTGGCTTGGTTGTAAAAATTTAAGACAGACTTGATGAAACTGTGCAGAGATTTGGGCAAGTTTGATGGTGTTGCTACCTTTAATTGCAACTGCACCATACTTGAGACCTTGCACTTCAAACGCCATCAACTAAGTGGGAAAAAAGTGTTACTTTGTTAATCGTTGGCACCAAGTCGTATTGGTGTCAACTGTCAAGAACTTTGGTTGCAACTGATCTATTGTATGTATTATTGTATTGTACTTAAAAATGAAATTAAGAAAAGACATTACTGCCTCATCCTATAATACAGTCCACAAACAGCCAAAAAAGGTTTTGGTAAGTTGAGCCGCAGCTTGGAATGGACTCAGGGAGATTTCATTTAGAACTTTTATTTTGTTGTGAATTCTTTGTCTCATTATATATGGTTATATAGTCATCAGCTTGTCGTTACTCTGAGGAAAATGGGTAGGTGAACTCCAATTCCTTCATCTCAACTAGGAACTGTATAATTTAAGCATTGAGTTCCTAGTCATTGAATTTATTTTGTATTTGTTGGGTAAAGGCGGGCGAACTTTTTTTCTTATGCACATGCATATTAATGATGCTGGCGCAGCTGTGTTTTTCCCGACACATCTGCCATTTGAGTGTACAGAGATGGTGATGTGCTGTCTGATGGGTCAATATGATTTGCTGTGTGCTCTTTTTATTCATTATTAAAATTAATGTAAATAAAGTGTGTTGTCGTAAATCGATGGCTTCATTACTCTAAATATAGGCCTCTGAACAAATGGTAGCAGGTCCGTGGTTATATCAAGGAGATTTAGATGTAATACCAAGTAGAAATAAAAACTTTTTAGTGAAAGCCAGAAATGGAGAAGTGGAACGTTCCCGAATTAACTGGGGAGAACTATTTTATTTGGGCATTGAAAAATAAAAGTTGCCTTATTAAAGTTGCTTCATTGTAAAGACTTGACTCAGTAATTTCAACTGTAAAACCAGAAAACTTAGATGAGAAAGATGAAAGATTGTGGAATGAGAAAAACGCTGATGCCATAGCATATATAAAACTCCACTATTGGATCAACAGGCGCTTCAGTTCTCCACAGAAGAGAATGCAAGAATTCTTTGGGAGAAAATAAAATCAACATTTACGGGGCAAACAGAAGATTGAAAAATGGATGCCGATAATGAGTTAAAAAACTTAAGAAATAAAGTTGCATGAGTCGGCTAATGATTATATTGCAAGAGCGAGAGGAATAGCAACTAAGTGCCAATCGCTAGGACTAGAAGTATCTCCTCGGGAATTGGTGTTTTACACAGTCCGTGGACTTCATGGAAAATTCTCTCGAATTAGGGAAATTGTAAAAACTCAGTGTGAAAAAACAATTGATGAAGTACTCGAAATAGTCCGTGAGGAAGAATCTACACATAATTTAACGAACGGGAAATGACCTGATGTAACCAATGCTGAGGCATTCGTACCAAGGAGAAATAAAAACTATAATCCAAGACTTTGTTACATTTGCCAACGGCCTGGTCACATCGCGAAAGATTGCTACTACAGAAACAAGAATCCAAAAAGTGAGTTATCCAAAGGTAACAAAGAAAGAAATTGCAACCTACAAGTGTGAACGTTTCATCTCGTTCTGATGAAAGAGAAAGTG